TAAAGTAAAATAAATAATAAAATATTTTATTTTGGACATTGACGAAGGTTTCCCATTATAGGCAAAAAAGTCAAGACAAATTGAGCAACCTCAACGTAGAACCAGCGGCGGATGATTTACCGGAAAAGGGGTTTCGATGCCGAGCTCAAATGCTCCATGTTGAGAATAATTAGTAAAAAAATTATAGTACAACGTCAGTATCAAAGGGGAAATAGAGCGATTTTCCAATTTAAAAAGCTGCTTTATGGACAGTGATGAAGGAATTTCATTGGTGGCAATTTTTGTTTTTAATAAAACAATGACACTCGCCTCCAATTCCCAGGCTCGAATGCTCATTGGGGTAGAAAAGTAAGTTTGTGATAAACATGGGAATTGGGAGAATAATAGTAAAGTAAAATAAATATAAGATAGTTTATTTTGGTCATGGTCGAAAGTTTACCATTATGGGCAAAACATTCAAGAAAATTCCTAGGCTGTGATTTGGAAACTTCAGTGGACGTCTAATAGCCAAACATATCAACTAGGGGGGTGCTACAATGTCCTGGTAAAGCAATTGGGTGGATAATTGGATATTTCGGGGTAATCGCCCCTAACACTACAGATGCCAAAAAAGAAGATGAGACCATGTGGCAAATCCAGTAGGACGATAGATGACCGCCGAGACGCGGCGCAGCCAAAGACAAATTGAGCAACCTCAACATGGATCGTATGCTCCACCGCAGCAGAGAACCAACGACGAAGAATTTACCGGGATAGGAATTTCGATCCCGAGATCAAATGCTCACTGATGTGAATAATTAGTAAAAAAACATGGTGGTAAACATTGGAATCGAGGGGGAAAACATTTTTCCAAATTAAAAAACTTCTTTTATGGACATTGGTGAAAGATTTTCATTGGTGGCAGAAAAAAAATCTGCTAAAACAATGACACTTGCCTCCAATACGTTCAAATGCTCATTGGTGCAGAAAAAATACTAAAAAAGTTTGTGATAAACATTAGGGTTGGGAAAAAAAGTAAAGTAAAATGACTAATAAAAAAGTTTATTTTGGTCATTGACGAAAGTTTCCCATTATGGACCAAATTTCAATAAAATCCCTGGTATGTGATTTGGAAACTTCGGTGGACGTCTAATACCCAAGCATATCAACTAGGGGGGAGGGGTGCTACAATGTCCTGGAAAAGCAATTGGGTGGGTAATCAGCGATTTAACGGAAAAGGGATTTCGATCCCGAGCTCAAATGCTACCTGATGTGAATAATTACTAAAAAAGACATTGTGGTAAACATTGGAATCAAGGGGGAAAAGGCGTTTTTCCAAAGAAAAACTTCTTTCATGGACACTGGTGAAAGATTTTCATTGTGGCAACGAAAAATTCTGCTAGAACAATGACATTCGTGGCCCGCCCTCCCCACTTGCAACCCACCCCACGCACAGGGAGCTTCAGCAGGAGCGCAAACATCATGCATTTTGGGCGTGGTGCCGAACCCGCCACTGGATCATGGATATTGACGTTGGAACGCACCACGTACCATACGGAAATTGCGAAAAAAAACAACTAACACAGCGGGTGCAACAAGAATGGTTGCAATAACAAAG